GGCAGCGGCAGCCAAGAGCGAAGTCATGAAGGGAGACAAGCTTGGGAGACAAGCCGGCAGCGGCAGCTAAAGGCGAAATCATGAAGGGAGACAAGCTTGGGAAACAAGGCGGCAGCGGCAGCCAATTTCCGCAATCCAGAACCCATCCATTGAGAAGTAAGAACCCCTATAGCTTCCGGCTATCTGTAAAATATCAATCACTTTTTCCAAACATTTGCTGCCGTGAACTGTGCCTAGAATTGGTTGACAAGAAAGTAGTTTAATTGAAAAGAAAAGTACAGCCAGTTCTAGCCTCTGACATGGCGCCACCAAAGAGTTCCTCATCTGGGCACTCATCAGCGCAAGCTTCTGGTTGCAATTTCCTGCCACGATGGATACATTTGCAGCAATGTTCAGGACCAAAAGGCTACCCACACAAAAAAACTGACAAACACCAAAATATAGAGGAGATCCTATGAACCTTCATGGGCAATGGCAAATCATCTTCTCATGGTTAGAGAATTGTCGCTGTCGTTCCAGCGGCTCTCTGCCTTTTGATGCGCATGAGATAGGTTGAGCCCTGAACACCATACAGCCTGGCTTTGCCATGCTGGCACATCAGGTTCCTGTGCCCCTGAAGCACAATGCAGGTTCTGGCCTTCTGAAGCACTTCGGAAGGTCAAGTATGGATCTGCGTGGGGGTACCTTGATTTGGGGAGGCCAAAAGGTTTGCTTAGGGGGCGACCTCAAATCTGCTTCGGAATGCCTCGCGCATTGACTGCGGTGAATTTGTCACATTGAAGCTGTGCGAGATGATGACATTGATCATCGGTCACTGAAAAATTGTTCCTCCCTGGCACCTGCAGCCTCTGCGCCACTGCATACCTTTCACAACGCCTCTTTGCTGACGTTCTCACATTGCCAGAGGCAACATGATCTGGAGGGAGCTAGAATCACAGCCAATAGCAACAGCCTGAAGCCGCATACATGTACATATGTTTTACCTGCCTGTAGTATGTATATGTATGTATGTACTCATTATATAGGTAGATAGATATACAGTAGCTATAGATAGTATGTGCGTTTTTTAAAAACACAACTCAACGTATCTGCATCTACACCATCAAAATGTGGTCAACCTTGGCTGGACAGGCTCTACCTTCACTGCAGCTTCAAACACTTGAACTAGCAGCGGATATCCTTTTATACTTTATACTCACTGATCCTCAGCACCCATGTCAGCCCATCGTGGGCTGGGACTCCGCTGTTGTGCACCAGACACCATTTGTGGCGTGTCCAGCTTATAGGTTGCCTGCCTTGGCGGTCGGGTTACATGATCCCGGCTTTGGGAGCACTAATTGCCGACAAGGAGCGGTACAGCCGCTTGAGGGATTTGAGTCCTGGGCTGGTCGGAAGGTCTAGAAATCACAGCTGAAAGAGCACAAGCACGCACAAGCATCATGAAACTCAAGCAAGCCACACTGGCGCGCCAGGCAATTGCATCAAAACGGTTCCACCCGCAGGAAGCATAGGATATGGAGTCATCGTAACGGGGTACACTTGCGCTGACACGGCGCAGCCCAATGCCCTGAGCTGCAACCACAAATGTTGCTTCAACTGTGTTGGGCTAGCTTGAGTGAGTCCCCTTTCAAGCCTCACGATGAGGGCGCTTCAAAGACACACAACCTAGAAAGGCTTGGACGTTGCATGAGAAGGCTTGGCCAAGCTTCTGATGTATTGGACCAGAAATTGGGACTGCAACTACTTGGCCAGGTGAGCCAGGGATTGCCATCACTTGACCACCTTGGATGACCATGCCACCAGGTCCGCTGGGACTTGGCGGTGCGCCAGGGATGCCTCCAAACACTGCCCAAAACAAAGTGCTCAACAGTCCCAGTCCAATGCACTGTGCATATTTGTTCCAACAGTCGTAGCACCTCTAGTTGCATCTGCACATCTGGCTGATGCATCTTGCCCCTGGCATGGCAGAAGAAAAACAAGGACCAAATAGTCTTGCTAAAGTAGACTTAAGCGTGAACTTACCACACACACACACATTTCCAGCCAAGCATGGTCAAAAGCTAAGATGATAATGATGGCCCGACTGCTCAAGCCTGCACCGCTTGTATCGGATGTGTAGCTTGTGCTACTTGTGCCACTTGTGCGGCTTGCGCCGCTTGGACTGCTTGTGCCGCTTGTGCGACCTGCGCTGCTTGCGCTGCTTGGGCTTGTGCAGCCTGCGCACGGGCTTGTGCTTGAGCCTGTGCTTGAGCTTGAGCTTGCGCCTGAGCCTGCGCTTGGGCTTGTGCCTGCACTTGGGCTTGCGCTTGCGCTTGAGCTTGAGCCTGCACTGCTTCCCGGTTTGCAGCTTCAGCTTGTTGCTGCCGTAGGCGGGCCACTTTCCTTGGCATGTTTGACACGTTGCCGAATGCATATATCTAAAGCAAAGCAGTGGAAGCACTCGACGCTTTGGCTCGCCAGGATACTGCTTTTTTCTAAGCTTTGGCTCGCCTTCCGGGCATAGGTGGCAGCGCTTGCATGCTGCACCGTTGATGCACCCGCTGGGTTTTTTGTGGAACCATGCCTCAGTTTCAAGTGGCCAACAGGAGAGTAAACGGGCTTTCTGCCTCTCTATCTTTCCAAAGCACACATGGCTGGCATGCAGGAAGCCCCTCCTGCCAAGCACAGCCACTCATATCATATATATCTTATGAGAGTCTTGGTGCCACCATACACCCAAAAGGTCACAGCAAACGTTGTTCTTGGATGTTCTTGGAACGTGCAAGATTTGCACAAGTGCACACGTCCTCATCAAGAAGCCCATGCAGTCGAGAACCCTCCGAAGGTGGGTGTTGCAAGACTTCTGGGGCTTGCAAAGCCAAACCCAAAAGTTGCCGCCCAAAGTGAGATGGACTCATCCTGGGCAAAGCGTCCGTGCACGAAGCATATTGTAGACATGTGTACCCATTCACATCCCAACAACAAATACAACCTTAAGGCCTTAGGACAAAACAATGCTCCAAAATAGTCTGCAAACAGGGGGCTGGGTCTGTGGCGGTGAGTCGCTCTCCCGATAAGGGACTGACGCCGGCGCTTGTCCTATGTGACGGACACATCATGATACATGAAATGCCCCATGAAGCGGTCACTGATGTGCAAACAATTCGTTCACTTCATATCGACAAGTCAGACCTGTCACTTCCTGCACCTCATCCTCATCATGCCCGGTTTCCTTGGCAAAGAGGTTGTCCAGCTCTCTACGGCTGCATTCAATACCGTGCGTGAGGTCAGCAAAACTATGCAAAACTCAAAGGCTAACGAGGAAAGTGATTCAACCTGAAAAAAAAAAATCCCCTGTTTCGACAAATACAGTAATTCATATCATCAGCCCGAGAGTCGTGAGATATAAAGAATCTCGCAGGTGACGCAGTCTCTGACATGCGAGCGGTGCATGTCTTGGCCCCGTCATGGAACGAAGTCATGGAATCCGGCGACTCCTCATCTGCTACATCGATAAACGTGTTCTTGACCTTGGCGAGAGGACGAGGGATTGGGAAAAGAAGCATGCGTTTGCGGATTGTCTTGCTGAGCAACTGTCAACGGAAGTTCGGCATCAATGGGAATGCCGTCCGGCGAAGCTGCGGGCGAGTGTGAGAAAGACCTCAGACAAGCTGAGTAGTCAAAAGAAATCAGTTAGGGTGTCCCAAATACCGTTATGACTTCTGAGATTGCCAGGGCATGGGCTCAAAGGCAGCAGCTAGAATCTGATGGCCAATGCGACCATTACCTTCTTCTGTAAGGCGCTGCTGCGCGGGGGCAATGGGCAGATGTGCTGCAGGCATCGAGCTGAACTTGTGCCGAGATGGCTGCAGTTGCACATGTCCAGCATTGCTTGGCAATGGTGAATCCTACGGCCCTTGTTGCCATGCCATGTCATTCTACGGCCCTTGTTGCAATCGTTCCTAAAGCGATATGTGCCTTTGTTACTAGTAGCTTGTTCCCAGTAGTAAGGCCAGGAGCGCCCCTAGTAGCGTCCTTGCTCCTAGTAGCG